AGAGTGCCTTCCTCTAAGGGTATATCTAAACAGCAAACACAAACCTGCAGCATCAAGTCTCGGTCAATTAACCGAGCCCCTGACTTGGGCTCGCAGGGTTCGTGCTGCGAAGCATCAAGTCTCGGTCAATTAACCGAGCCCCTGACTTGGGCTCACAGGGTTCGTGCTGCGGAGGTGAAAACAGCAGCGTAGACATTCTTGCACAAGCTGGTCATTGAGCTCTGGGATACCCGCTATGGCTGGTTCCGGCGCCTGAATCCCATGAGCCCATGTCAACTGAGCCAGGCTTGAACCCTCAGCACGGAGGAGTTTCCTGTGCCCAGGATCTCTACAGCCGCTGGGAGCGTGCATCTCAGCCCAGGGAGACAGACGTGCTGGGGGCGGCTGGGATAGTCACCAGAGAACGTACGTTCCTCTGAGCTGCTGCTGAGGCTACCGATGGTCGTGTTAACTCAGTAGCTTGAGGAGAGCTGGTGTGCGTTTGCCTCCCTGCTCCAGGAGCTGCTAGACATCCCCTTTGCTGCAGGAGATCAGTTTGTCGCTCCCAGTTCTCTCAGCTCCTCACCCCTCCTCCCCCAAGGGGCTCGACTGTGCTCCCGAAGTCCGCTCCCAGTTCTCTCAGCTCCTCACCCCTCCTCCCCCAAGGGGCTCAACTGTGCTCCCAAAGTTAGAGGTGTCAATCTCCCGTCAGGTTCCGAGGGGGCGGAGCAAAAGAAGAACATGATTCTCCTGGGCAGAGAGGAGGTGGACGAGGCCAGTCGCCGGCGCATCTCCAAGGCAGGTGCGGCTGGCTGTAGCAAGGCAGCATCCCACCCCCCACCCCCAGTCTTTGCGTTTGTCTAGGTGCGTGTGTGCCCCCTGTGTGCTGGCCTGGCTGTGTGCAGACTCCAGAGCAGACCCTGAGGCCCCAAGGGCCACAACATTATTGTCAACAAAGCACATTCCTAGTGTCCCGCAGACCCTACCAGAGCATAACCCGTGTGTGCCTTTTGCAGTGGCCCAGCTCAGTTGGGTGGGACTTCCCGCCGCCCCCTAGGCTGGACACCGGCAGCCCCTCTGAGACGTATCTTTACACAGACACAAACAGGTTACGTGTTACTCCTCATGCAGCTGGGTGCCGCCCTCTGAGGTGTTTGGACATCATCTGTTCCCTTGTACCTGTGGGTTTGATCAAAAACACCCGGCTGTCATCCTGATCTTACCCAGGGATGGATCAGTACGTGCTTGTTCTCTGCGGGCTGGTGTTGGGCTGTTCTGGCACTGCCCTGGAATGTGCTTGCGACTCGTGCCTCCTATCTCTTTGGTGTGAGTGTTTCTGCAGCGCCCGCCCGGCCTCTTGCTCCAAGCTCAACATCGCTTTTGGTTACAAAGCCGTGACTACTTGTACCGAGGCCTCAGGCCTGTCAAACATGGGCTTATGTTTCTGGCCCTCTTGCTGCATTGTGCATAGGAGAGAGACACCTACAAAGAATACGAAAACCCAGCTGGGTGAATCAGAATTCAGCCCTGTGCCCTGGCTTGCCCCTGTGTGGGTCATGCAAGTTCCTGTGCCAGCCGTCCTTGAGAACATTGCTTTATCAAAGAGCCTCCATTATCAGTC